ATTTTTTTTCTACCGCAGTATGCATCTATAATTTTCTGTGAGTTACTTTGTGTGTGCTGTCTCTCTCACACACACTCACTCAGGCTGTGCAAGCCTCATCTGGCACAACAGAAATACATTATCAGTCACCGTTTACACTGAATACAATTAAAATTTGAATCAATCTCACGCAAAACGACATGTTTACACGCGAGTGAGTTTGCGCGTGGCTGTGACGTCATTGCCGGCGCCGCTGGCAATAAAAGGATCGGTTCAGAATCTGCAAGACGTGAGACATGCGAAAAATCGGCCGATTCCGATCACTGGTCGATCAATCGGTGCATCTCTAATCATAACGATATCAGGATCTTGTACTTGATACATTTCTAACATTTTATGTGTCAACATCATTGATTTGGGCTTAATTTCTCAGTGAGAGCCCACACACATCAACTCATGGGTCTCTAACCTGCAATGTTTTGTCGAACCAGCGGTTTCCACTGTTCCACCTGCTTCCCCCTCCATGCAGCATCTGAACTCCAGCACGTGTGCGGTACATGTCATCAGACACACGCGGAATGGGAGCATCCAGACAGACTGTGAAGATACTCTTCTGAATGGCTCTCACAGACTCCTTATTTGTTTTATCTGAAAGTGACACAAAATAAACTAAGAATCACTCTAAATTGAACCCTAAATTGAATTTCTTTTAATGAACTGAAAGCCTGTAGAACAGCATCTATTAAAAATCGAAATCTTTAATATTATATTTGTAAAAGTATAAATTTCTGATCAATTTAATGTATCCTGGCTGAATATATGAATCAATTTCTTTCAAAAAATAAAAAACTTTAGTAATCCCAAACTTTTGAACTGTAGTGTACATTATATATACAGTAGCTTATCAAAGTTTCAGTTCCTAGCACTGAAGACACTAAGGCTGCGTTTACACTGCAAGTCTTAAGGCACAGATCCGATCTTTTGACCATATCCGATTTTTTGGCACGTCTGTTTACATTCACTTTAGACACGACTGTATCCGATATCTCTGTTTACATTAATTCCCACCCAAAAGAATGGTCTGCAGTGATCGCTTT